CAATCAAGATCATCTGGCTTTGAAACTTCAGCTGCCTTCACGAACTCAGTAATGGATCAGAGGGAGATCCAAGTGATCCACCTGTCCACTGCATCATCTCTACTGTAGATGGGCCTGGAGCTTCTTGGGATCCATGGACATGACTGTTAGAAAAATACAAGGCCTGGCATTGCTGTAGCGAGGCAGGGATTGGCAGCCTATTATGCATGTGGGATTAAATATGACTCAGTTTAGTTTGACCTTGGGTTGGTAAATCACTGGATAAATTATTGTGTTAGCTATAGATTACTAGCCTTCATATGGGCATGTAGGAATTGAGACTGTATGTCTATAGAGTTCCTTTTTATCCATTAGTTAATAGGTAGAATACATATGCAAATAAGTCATGGAAAAGTGAAGTTGATTTACATTGTATTGCAAAAGTTTTAATTCTGTGTTGAATTCTTGCAGTCTTTGTGTAAACTCTAGTTGTTGTTTTTTTTGGCAACTTCTGGTATTTAAAAATGTCTGTTTGGTTTTACTTGATTTAGTACAGTTGCATAATGTTTTGTGCTCATGCTTACTCTTGAGAAATTCAGACTCTGCTAGTCCATTGTAGAGGAGTTCAGTTTAAAATAAAACATTTGGTGTTGTTAATGAATATTCTGTTTCTTGAAAACATGGGATGCATAATTTGGTCATGTCAGCATTTATATGCTATTGATTTTTTTAAAAGACTGTCTTCATGGAAAAGTTATCTAATGAATAGGCAGTGAAAACCAGAAATATTTGACAGGACAAAATTAAGAATTCACGCTCCCCCTAACTCTTAAAACTTCAGTTGATTGTGAAAATGATGCAAAGCTGTTGATTGACTGAGATGCTTGATCTTACATTGGTCAGGGAAATTTCATTTATTGAATATATAACTAGATATGTAAAGGGTGAGAAGCAAAAAGACATATTTCTTAAATTATTAGCACACATCTAGCATTGAGTTAGCAATACACATAGGCATGTCCAAAATTTGTGCAAGGTACAGAATCTCACTTAGAAAACCCCACGAACTCACTGTGAACTCTCCTTTCCTCAGAAATGTGCTAAGAAGACAATAACAACAAACAAAATCCATGATGGGTAGGAATCATCTGTGCTTATGCA